CGGCAAAGCATATACGTCGGAGAAAAAGGCAGACTTCTCAAGACGTGAATTGCCGAACACGCTGCAGCAGTGCGGCGAAATGATGCCAATTTTAAGTTGCGGCTCATTCGACGAGACCCGGCCACACATTCAAATACGATGAGGCCGAAAATCTCGCAAGAGGTGAAACTTGGGTGAGCCGAGAATTAATTGAGTCATGGTTCACGGACTCCCAATCCATTATTGGGTACTGAGACTCAATTTGGCCAAGGCAAGTCACCACTTGACGAAAGGACAGGCCACTACGTCAACCTACGCCAACACCGAAGGGCCAGATGGCCGAGTAGTTATCCGTACGTGTCCATCGAGCATGATGAAAGTTCAACAGCAAACTATCCACGCACAAGAAAGCAATTAACGTTAATTGTCACTGTATGTTTGCATTAATGACTGCATGTATTACCCGTTTCTACTACTGTTTTCTGCCAATGTCTCTGATGATGAATCCGCGATGGATGGTAAAAAGTCAGGTGAATAAACTTATTGTCGCAGCGATAGAGTCGTCTTCTTCGTAATTACTTCCTCGGACTCGCATGTTCGCTTGTATTGGCAGAATAAAGATCGCTTGAACTTTTCCAAATGCCTTCTATCAATATCTACTAAATTTCTTTTAACGGCGAAGATAACATTTGCCTCAATGGCTCCTGACTTAACCTTCAGGACTGCCAGTATATCTCATGGAGGTTGCTGAGATTAAGGTTATCTTGGCCTGATATCCAGGTCTCCTCAGCAGTAGTCGATGATAAAAAGAAAGTCGGATTACTGTCTCTCCACCACCCATTCAGAACTAAAACTGAATTGTACAATGTTTTGGTGAGGTTCAATGCTTATCGAAATCTCTGTAAAAATATCACACAATGAATTAATTTTCATGTCCGAGAATAGTATCCTGAATCAGTAACCTACTGCTAGCGTGTGTTTATGTGTCGTCAGGTCGTAATGCGAACTGCTTGTTTTTCTTAACTAAAGCTGTATTTCCTAATAACCTTTTATTCACTATTCATACGAAACAAGCACTGTGATGAAGAACGCGCTCTTAGCAATTATATTTGATAGATCGTGAGTGTTAATAATATATCTATCTGCGTTTTTCTTAAAGGTCTTTAGAACGAAAACGGAGCTATGCTGTTAAGAAGTTGCCCAGCCTCACTCGTTCGAATTCCATTCATTCCGAGAAGCAACTACCATTACTTTTCAATGTAAAGGACATGAAAATACTTGAGGAAGTCGGACAGGGAGCATTTGGAAAGATTTATAAGGTAAATTATATTTGTATCTGGCTCCACTGTTTAGATAATTGGAATTAACATTATATTTTATTATTTAGCGAGATATATATTGCTGTGCCGTGATAGGGTACGCTGATAGCAAAATATGACGCGTTATCTTATGCACAATGTGCCTAAAAATCCATCAACTCATAACGAAGGCTTCACCCGGGAAGCTTTCTTTTTCACTTTTCCTTTGCCAAAGTCGTCCACCCGGAACAGCCATCTAACGGGAGAACTCAGGATACTTACAGTCATCCTCATTTTCACCCAAGGTATAGGCAGAAAATATGGGGGAGCGGGGGGAAATTGACGGTGTTTTGTCAAACCTGGATAGGCTACATAGTGCGTAGACGGGCGAAATATATGGAGGACCATGACTGCCCGCCTCACCGCCGATGGACGTTAGATTTTCGCTGTCGATGGGCACAGTGCCCACC